TGGAGTATGAGAACAAAGGAAAAACTGAAGGAACAAAACAGCAGCAGAATCACAGAACCCAAGAATGGACTAACAGGTACCAAAGGGAAAGGGACTGGGGGGTGGGTGCGTGGGTGGGTGGGAAGGGAGGGAGAAGGGGATTAAGGGGCATTAGCACACATAACATAGTGGGGACACGGGGAAGGCAGTATAGCACAGAGAAGACAAGTAGTGACTCCATAGCATCTTACTATGCTGATGGACAGTGACTGTAATGCGGTGTGTGGTGGGGACTTGATAATGGGGGGATCTAGTAACTACAGTGTTGCTCATGTAATTGTATATTAATGATACCAAAATTCAAAAAAAATACCAAATGAATATATACCTGGATTTTCTTCTTTTTTTTTTTTTAGTGGTCCTATTTTTTTACATTTAACCTTTTAATCCATTTTGAATTTATTTTACTATGCGGAATGAAGATCTAATTTCATATTTTTTGCAAAGAGCAAGGTAATTTTCTAAACAAAGTATATGAAGCTGATTCTATTTTTAATAATAGTGACAGTGTTTCCAGTATAGAAAATTAAAATCTAACTTTCTGAAATTTAAGGTGAAAATATGTAGATTAACAAATTTATCAAAATGCAGGTAATGTTTGGGGAAAGAAGGCTGAGTATGAAAGATGAAACTGTTCTGTATGTGAATAGCAGTGCATTAAACCACTGGCACAGTCTACTTAGTAGATGTTGCCATATATGCCAAGTGAAATCAATCAGTCTCTTTCTTTCCTTCTCTTGACTATATGCATGGTGCTAATAACAGATGTAATAACAATTTATGAAATATTAGCTGCTATAGTCATAATCATAAAGTGCTATACAAGTGTTAATACTATTAATACTTAGTGACAAATGCTATGAAGGAAGGAGATAGTGCTTTGAGACAGGCTAATAGGGCAAATAGCTCTGGTTATGGAAATCGGGGAAGGCTCCTTGAAGAAAGTAATGATTAAGTTGAGACTTGGAAAAGCAGTAGGATTAAGTACATAAAGTACAGGAAGTAAGTAATGATGGGGAATGTCCAAGTGGCAAAGCAGTAACTGTAAGGGACCCAGGGCAGGGAGGAACACAACCGTTTTGAAGCTAAAGGACTAGCATGGCTACAGCTAGGAGAGCAAGGGGCTGCATGTGTGAGATGAGCTTGAGATGGGGGCAAGGCTAGAATGTGCCGAAGGGTTTTACTTTTTATCCTAAGAGCTGTGGGAAGTCATGGAAACATTGTAAGCAGGAGAGTAATCTAATCATGTTTGTATTTCAAAAAGAGCAGGCTGATTAAAGTATGAAAATGTATTTGAGGAAGGCAGGAGTAGGGACAAGGAGACCAATTAGGAGATTATTGCAATGCTTCAACTGAGAAAAGATGGGAGCTTGGCAGCACATGTGGATGTCTGAATGGATGGGTAGCTGACTGGATGGGTGCATATGGAACCGGAGTAGAGCTGACAAGACTCATGGACCATAATCTTAAAGCAACTGAATTTTGTTTCTCATTGTTCCTTTAAATTTGCTCAATTGGATTAGTTCTTTTGCCCCTGGATAATAACACTGAGCAGACCTCAATTTTTCTGGTTTTGTCGTGGATCATATAAAGAGCCTCAGCTTAGTGGTTGCAATAGCCGGTCTCACATTGTAGTCGAAGCTGTAGGCTAGATTTAAATGGGAATTGCTTTCCCTCACCCAGCTAGGGCCTGTTGCCCTAAGGTCAGAATAAGGGGGGTGCAGGTGGCTTCTTCTCTCTTTCCTTCTCCCTCTGGGCTTGTTCATCACTCCGGGTGGCCTTCTTGGGCAGGAACCGAGGTGACCCCCGCATGTGTTTGTGCGGGCACACATGCAGGCTTGCATGCTCTCTTGTGGCCCACATCTGATCCACATGAGACCACTTCTTTCAGCCACCAGTTTTTAGCAATCAAAACAGGCTAGCCTGTCTTATTCCACTGGCATCTCACATGTGTTGTTTAAGGATCTCAGCCCAAATACTTTGTACCATGGTTACAGAAGCATAAGTAATGCTTAATATGTGAGCAATGAGACAGTGGGGAAGGTTGTGTGATTGAACATTTGCTGGTGATCTGGTAGTGCAACAGGGGCTTTTTGGCTTACTATCTCTAATCCTTACAGCAACCCTCCTGTCTTGCCAATGGGTTTCAGCCCTGGCAAGTTCACTATGGATTCAGTGTGACCAAAGAAATGACAGTAGAATGTTCTTGGGGTGAAAGGGTTATACCCAATTTTATTTCCAGGTGGCAGGTCAGTCACTAAAATCCCGTTCACTCAGAGCGAGTCTGCAGGCAGCAAGCCGGTCTCTCCCTCTGGGCCTCTCTGTCTGCACAGCTGTCCTCTGGTCCTCTCTGGCTGCACAGCCATACCACACAGCCGTCCTCTGGGCCTCTCTGCACAGTCGTCCTGCACAGCTGTCCTCTGGACCTCTGTCCTCGGCACTGCCACCACCCCAGTCTCATCTCTGCTCTCCTGTAGCTGTGCCACCGTGTTGCCCAGAGCACTGGCTGGAGCTCTTTATATAGAGTCAGTAGCAACATATTGCCCACACGTGTGTAGTGAGCTAGCCAACCAGGCCAGGTGAGAATCCTGGCCACAGGAACTTTCATTTTATCCACACCTCCCAGTATGTATTATTATTCCCATTTTACAGATGAGAAAAGTAGAGAATCAGAATAGTAAGCAACTTCTCTGAGTAAGAAGTGAGGGAGCAGGCACTTGTTCTCTGGTTTTTCTGAATCCCAAACCTGTGCTCACATGAGGTCACTCCTGCTGGCACTTTGTAGTTCTGGAATTATTGGTCCCTCTGTCATGGGACCATGTTAACTTTGGCAATTGGTTTTTTGAACACTTTTCCAATTACTGATTCTTGCCAAGATTTAAAATCTATACTAGTTTTCTATTGCTACTGTAACAAATTCCCACAAGTCTAGTCGCTTAAAGTGACACAGATGTATTCTTTAGTAGGTTAGAAGCCCAACGTGCTTCTCCCTGAACTAAATTCAAGGTGTCAGCAGGGCTGTGTTCCTTCTGGAGGCTGCAGGGGAGAATCCATGTCTTGTCTTTTCTGGCTGTAGAGACTCCCTGCATTCCCTGGCTTGTGGCCCCACCCTACATGTTCAAAGTCACCAGTGTCAGATCTCTTTGGCCCTTGTCCTGTCAACACATCTTTTTCTGGTTGCAGGTGGGAGAAATTCTCTGATTTGAAGAACTTCTGTGATGAGGCTGGGCCCACCTGGGTAACCCAGGCTCCTCTGGCATCTCAAGGCCCATTCCCTTAACCACACCAGCAGAGTCCTTTCGACACATAAGGCCCATGTTCACAGATCCCATGGATTAGGGTATATGGGCACCTTGAGGGCCTATACTCTACCTACCACAGGAATTGAGCTCTTCAAATAATGAATCATTTGTCTCTTCCTCCAGTACGTGCCACTGCTAATGGAATGTGGAGACCTGGTGATGGATAATCAGTTTGATTTTTCCTTGCTTTTTATAAATCTGTTTGTAGAACTGTTTTACTGAAATTATTTTGTTTACCTTAGATTTGAAACCTCATATAAATTCATTGCTGCCATTTTCAATTCAATATTAAACATATAATCCACAAAATGTTATAGAAAAAGTGTTTAAAATAATGTCTTTGCTTTTTTAAATCCAGACTTGGACTTAAAACCACCACTAAAGTCAAATGGAAGCAATTTCTAACATCATTATATGAGCCTCAGTGGCTGGAAGTTAACAATAAAATTCCCCTGACAAAAAGAAATAGGTATGTAAAAAAAAAAGCAACTAAGCTTTGGTTACACATATTGTAATTTGTAAAAGGTTAGAGGAAATCTGAGTTACTTTTTCTTCATTTTTTTAATGACAAACTAGTCTTCATTGAATAATCATGAACTTTCACATAGTGATATACAGTTTATAATTTATTTTGTTTACATTTTTCTTATTTAAAATTGCTTTAAACTATAAGGTAAATATAATTATTTTTCCGATTTCCTAGATGAGAAATAAGACTATAAGGGGTTCTAACTAGGTCGTATGTTCAGCGAGTGGTGGAGGCAGATATGGAGCTGCGCGCCCTGGGCATGCGCGCCGGCACTGCTGACGTCGCTCCTGGGGCTGCCAGTGCATTCTTGTAAAACTGCATATAAACATGTACTTGTTAAGTGTTCTAGGAAAGGAATATAGGTTTCCTCACCACCCTCTGCATGGTGCAGGTATTGTGGGTCATGGGGATTGTTTGCTTTGAATACCATTTGTTTCTGTTTTCATCCTAATGTCTATTATAACTTCAGATTTGTATGATCGCATCAATTGTGGGGGAACACCAAAATGTAAAAAAATGTACTTAATAATGTGACATTTTAGAATTTATACTTTTGCTCTAAGAAGTGTTTTGTTTATGTTGATGTGCATCCTGTATTTATATGGGGCAATAATTGCCCCACATAAATCTTAAAGTAGAAAAACAGGCTTTGTAATCTCAATGCTTTCACTGATAACACTATGCTCTATTGTAAAGTAAAATATACCACAGAGTTAATTCCCTGTCACAGGGATTTATGAATATTTGATGAACTGCCTTGGTTACCAGCCTTGCAGGTGTTCTGAGCCCACCTACCCCCCCACCCCCACCCCCCGTCTAACACACTGTTCCGGGGATGCAACTCTGCAAGTTCATTCTTAAGTGAAGTTACTTTATAATTTTCTTGTCTTAGAGCACCTTGTCCAGGTCTCTAAGATTTAAAATGTGAATTTTATTTATTTTAAAAGAGTGGTTCTCAGCTGGGGGCTATCTTGACCTCCTCAGGAGATATTTAGCAACATCACAAGGCATTTTTGGTTGTTGCAACAGGGGTGGGGTGTGACCAGTATCCAGCGGGGAGAGGCCAGGGATGCCGCTAACTGTCCCACAGTGCACAGGACCGCACTGCCACTCCCCTCCCCACAACAAGGAACTCCTGGGCCCCATGTCAGTGGTACTGTTGCCGGGTAGCTGCGTCTGGGGAGGTCTCTCCCTGCGCACTAGGTGCAGCACTAGCAGAAACCTCAGCCTGGACGGGGGAAGGCTCTTGACACTGGGCGAGAAAGAATTCTTGAACGGATCAGATGAGTGCAGGTAAGGAAGGAGTTCATTAAAGCAAGAGCAGCAGGGGTGGCAGCTGCCTTCAGGCAGCAGAGAACAGGGAACTGCGGAGGGAAAGTTCCCGGCCTAGGACAGAGCCCCTTGCTAACTACAGAAACCAGGGCCACCTGGCATCCTGTGTCTGCTTGGATCTGCACAGCGTGGGGACTAGCCCCCACCACTCCAGGATTTGCGGGGGCCACAGAGCACAGGATGGAGTGAGATTATGTTCTTAGAACTTCCCAAAGAAAGGAGATTTTCAGGTAGGCTACTAAGACAAGATTGCACAGCTGCAGTTTCATCCAGGTCACCCAGGTGATGGAAACACGCAGGTCCAAATCTGAGCTCTTAGCAGCCCCTTCCTACTTATTAGGAGTAAAGCAGAGACAGAGTGAAGACTTGGAAATAAAATGAAATATCAAGGAGACAAATCACAATAATTTGAGCAGTGAGAAAGCTTTATTTGAAAGTATGCACTTAAGGAAAGTGCAGGCGTCCTCAGAGAGGAGGCATGCTGAGAGTTTGGGGGTTCTGTCTTTTAAGGCTTTCAAGAATGGGGCAAAGGGCAGATGGGGGGTTGTTTGGCATAGACTTGACTTGTGGTCTCAAGATGCTTCTTTGGTGAGAGACACCATGTTTCCTCTCCTGTTATCAGTCCTCCAGCTAATTCTGCTAAATAAACCCAACACAAGAAATTTATTTACCTGTTCTTCTCCAAGCTAGTGCTTACCCTCAAGCAGTGGGGACAGAGCAGTTAAGACTGCCTGCCCTGCCTTAAGATAGGCTGTTGGGTTATGTCTGATTACCAGATAATATGTTAGGAGTCTAACTTCTCAATTCTCTGCTCTTTAAAATGGAATCTTAGCCTTAAGACGGAGCCCCTCCTGTTCTTACTATACTGTTTACATCTCAGCATTTTTCATCCTAGGCAGGAAAAGTTAGTCATGATGCTTGTCCACATCCCTGCTCTACCCCAGCACTGCAGCCGCTCAAAACTGCTGCAGAAGTCCCGCCCGTGGCAGTGAAACCAGGTTCCGGTGAGTCACAGGAGCTCAGACTCGGGAATTGCACTGCTTCACATGTTTCTTAGCAGTGGCGGTAGATGTGTATGTTTCTATGTTTCGGCACAACTGGAAAAAGCTAAGATGGCTGTACAGATGTAGCAATAAAAATACCCCGTTTGGGACTCGTTCAGCAGGCATGCTGGTCCACTGTCATTCCTTATTTAGTGGGAAATGTCACACTGTGCAACTGAACACTGAAAGGGGGAAGCCAACGAGTGTGTAAGTGCATGCTGTAGATTTATACCATGAGATTCTACAGGCCCCTTTCTGATCAGAGTCCACTGTGAACTTGGCATTGATCTCCAAGAACCCACGTGCTGGCTCATGGACCAGAGCATAGGGAATGCAAGCAAGAGGCAGGAAAGGGAGGGGGGCCAGCTAACGCTGGTGGTCGTGGCACTGTCAGTGCAGCGGGAGGAGAGGTTGTGAGGGCTGATGTCCCTTCAGCGTGTGGGCAAGTGGGCTGTGACGCGCTGCACCTGCACACACGGAGACGTTGTTCTCGGCACTGGGCAAGGCCTCTCTCTTGGTCTTTTTTGGGACCAAAGGCACAGGATGGCTGGCCACAGCTAGCTGGCCTGGGAGGAAGAGAGCAACGGCCCAGCAGAGCTCATCGGTACCTTGGGGCATCACCTCCCTTAGGGGTGTCCCACTAACCGTGTGGTGGGTGGGCTGCCCCCAGTATGCTGCACGTTCACGATAAAGAGCCATTCCCGAAGTGTTATGAGTCCTTTTTTTGTGTGTGTTGTAAAAGAACAAAGTTCAAGAACATAATCTTTATTTCTCTTAATCCTCTTATAGCATCACCTCTAGAAACCAATCTCACAAAGAAGACATTATCACAAAGTTATTTAGATATGAAGATCACTATACATCATTGAAGAAAGAACTACTGGTCAACACTGTAAGATTTTGAAACCCTTCTCTGGTGAAAAACTCATTGTTTCTAAGAACAGTAACACTCAGAACAAGACCAATAAGAATTGTATATTCATTCATTTATCCATCTAACAAACGTTATTTTTAGTTCTTATTATATGCTAGGAATCACTCTAAGTGCTTAGGGACACAGCCTGACCTCAAGAGTTGGGTCTGGGTGGTAGATGAAAGAGAATTCATGGCAACAGTAAGGTAAATGCCAGGGAAATAGAACAGGGTATGGCAAGATCGCTTAAGAATGGAGTGACTAGTCATCATTAACTGTTTAATTAACAAGTAATCCAGACCTATTGAGCCCTCCCCGACCCCAGCTTACAGTTCATGGGTTCATAACCAACTTGTATCCCATAACAGGAATATTTTCTTAGTTCCAAACTGACCTATTGAATTGTTTACCTGTATTGTGAAAGGAGGCTAATTCACGAGTCTGCAGCTTGCTTCAGGCATCAGCTCCTGTCCCACTTCATGCTGGTTTCAGAAAGCAGAGTTTGGACACTTTTGATGCATGACGAGTCTGTCACTTACTAAGCACACGCAGCAACTAAATCCACAGTGAATACGGAGGGTGCCACCAATCACTTTGCCTCAGACTCAGGCGGGATAATGTACAAAGGAGGAGTTACTTGGCCTCAGGATCAACCTCCCAAAGCCCCCCGGCCTCGGGGCGGTCTGAGCTACAGGCAGCAGGCCGAGAGGCGGCCTGAGAGGGGCGGCGGTTTGCTCTCTGTGCTGGAGACGCAGCTCCTCGCCTCGGCCAGTCCAGAACGCCATTGCTCAGGGTTTCCAGGCTTGGTGTAAACTTGGAGGTAGGGGCTTCTGTTTCCTTGGGGGAGACCTTCTAGCTAGCATCCCTGTTTTCATCACTCTTTACAGACCTATACTCCTTGCTCCTATAACTGAATGAACACACCGACCAACAGTAATGCTGCGTGCTTACCATGTGCCAGGCACCGTCCGTGTGATGTACTTGTATCCACTCTCTTCAGACTCAGCACCTCTGTAAGGCAGACATTGTCATTACCTTCATTTGACACTTTTATGTCACCCTCATTGCCAGAGAGGGAGCTTCAGAATTAAGTGACCAGCCTAAGGTTCCCAGCTAGTGAGTGGTGGGGCCGTGATTCAAAGCAGGCACCCTTTGGCCCTGGGCTGCCAGTCAGCATGCTAGCAGGGCCACTTGAAGATAGATGAGGGCTCTTGTGTGTTTACCTACCTCCGCTTCTATTAGTAAATTGAAGAAGTAATTTAATTAAAAATAGTGTGATCTTCACCTCTATTAATTGAGGACTGTAGTAATGCTAACCACTCCAAATATTAGACTATTTAACAGTCATTGATGTACTGTTCAACAAACAGAATTATCAGTAAGCATGTAGTGTAGGTGAGGAATGGAGTGCATGCCCCGATTTGGGGCACTTGGGCTGACACAGAGTTCCTGCCGACAAGGAGCTCACACTCAGAGTATCATAGAACAGCGGTGAGCACCAAATACCTCGTGATTGCAGCTGTGGTTTCCAAGGGGGACTTTCTGCTCACCATTTGCTTTGGTTTGGGCCACATCTGGGACCTGGAAGGAGAAGGAGTGCAGAGGGAGAGAGCCAGGAGTAAGCAGGGATGGGCCTTTTGCCTGGCTGCAGAGGACAGTGTGGAAACAGGTTCCTTTCCTGCTATAGAGAGGGATGCAGAATTATTAGAAGAAAGATTGCTTTAGATCTGCCCCAAGTCATACATCCCAAATGGCTGTATTGCTCCCCTCACACACTGCCACCATTTCTCTGAGTAGACCCAGTACCCCAACCAGTTACATTTAAATCAGATATGGTTGACTTTCTATCACCCAGAAACAGTCTATTCATCTATTCTTATTCTCAGTGTGATTATTTGCAGCCCACATGCTTTTATAAATAGTCCAAAAGAATCTCACCCACAATATTAGAATTCATAATAGAATTTAGAAGGTCATTTGATACTAGGTCAATATAAAAAGATCAATATTTCTATAAGCTGCAATAAACAATTAGAAAAAGATGAATTTAAAAAATATTTCTAATAAGGTTTTTTAAATCAAATGCCTAGAACTATACTAGCAAAAATGTGCAAATTATCTACACTGAAAAGATTAAAAGATTGCTCATAGAAGTAATTATAATATTTCACAAACTTTGAGGAAACATAGGAAAAATACTTCCCAACTCATTCTCTGAGGCCAGTATTATCCTATTACCAAAACCAGGCTAAGAGATCATGAGAAAAGAAAACCACAGACCAATAACCTTTGTGAATATAGTTGCAAAAATTCTCAACAAAATACTAGCGAACCATTCAACAACGTATTAAAAGGACTAAAGGCAAAGACCATGTGGAGTTTATCCTAAGATTGCAAGTTTGGTTTAACTTCCAGAAAAATCAATTACTATAATATACAATATTTATAGAATTAAGGACAAAACTACATGATCATCTCAAAGGACGCAGAAAAGCATTTGAAAAATTCAACACTCATGATGACAACTTTCAACAAACCAGGAATAGAAGGGAAATTCCTTAACTTGATAAAGAGCATTTATAGTAAACCCATAGCTAACAGTATAGTTAATGGTAAAAGACTGAATACTTCCCCCTAAGGTCAAGAAAAACGTAAGAAGTAGCTCTTGCTAGCGAAGCTCCGGACAGTGCAATCAGGAAAGAAAAGAAAGAAAAGGCATCCAGACTGTAAAGGAAGAGGGGAAACTGTCTTTATTCACACACAACATGACCTTGTAATAGAACATTCTAAGGAATGCATATGTACAAACTACTAACACTAGTAAGTGAGTTAAGGTTGCAGGATATAAGATCAATATACAAAAATCAGTTATAGCTCTATAACTAGCAATGAGCAATCTGAAAGTGAACTTCAGAAATCAATTCTATTCACAATAGCATCAAAGGCATAAAATACTTAGGAATAAATTTAACAGAAGAAGTACCCGACTTGTGCACTGAACTTGCAAAACCCTGTTAAAAGAAATAAAAGAAAATATAAATAAATGAAGAGACATCCTGTAGTCATGGATTGGAAGACTCAGTATTAAGATGACCATTCTCTCCAAATTGGTCTGTAGATTCAAAGCAAAACCCATCAAAGTCCCAGCTGGAGTTTTTGCAGAAGTTGAACACTGAGCTTGACGTTCACAGGGAAACGCAAAGGCTGCAGAATCACCAGAACAATCTTGGAAAAGAAGAGTGAAGTTACAGTACGTGACCTTTCAGCTTGTGAATTTTGGTATAAAGCTGCAGTAATAAAGAGTGTGGTACTGGGATAAGGAAAGACATGTTAAGCAATGGGATGGAAGTGAGTGTACAAAAATAAACCCTTGTCTAATTCAATGGGGGAAAAGATAATCTTTTCAACAAAAGGTGCTGAGGCAATTGGATCTCCATACACGAAAAGATGAATTCCCTTACACCAAAAAGGCATCCAGACTGTAAAGGAAGAGGGGAAACTGTCTTTATTCACACACAACATGACCTTGTAATAGAACATTCTAAGGAATGCATATGTACAAACTACTAACACTAGTAAGTGAGTTAAGGTTGCAGGATATAAGATCAATATGCAAAAATCAGTTATAGCTCTATAACTAGCAATGAGCAATCTGAAAGTGAACTTCAGAAATCAATTCTATTCACAATAGCATCAAAGGCATAAAATACTTAGGAATAAATTTAACAGAAGAAGTACCCGACTTGTGCACTGAACTTGCAAAACCCTGTTAAAAGAAATAAAAGAAAATATAAATAAATGAAGAGACATCCTGTAGTCATGGATTGGAAGACTCAGTATTAAGATGACCATTCTCTCCAAATTGGTCTGTAGATTCAAAGCAAAACCCATCAAAGTCCCAGCTGGAGTTTTTGCAGAAGTTGAACACTGAGCTTGACGTTCACAGGGAAACGCAAAGGCTGCAGAATCACCAGAACAATCTTGGAAAAGAAGAGTGAAGTTACAGTACGTGACCTTTCAGCTTGTGAATTTTGGTATAAAGCTGCAGTAATAAAGAGTGTGGTACTGGGATAAGGAAAGACATGTTAAGCAATGGGATGGAAGTGAGTGTACAAAAATAAACCCTTGTCTAATTCAATGGGGGAAAAGATAATCTTTTCAACAAAAGGTGCTGAGGCAATTGGATCTCCATACACGAAAAGATGAATTCCCTTACACCGTACACAAGAATTAACTAAAAATGGGCCATAGACCTAAATATAAGAGCTACAATGACAAAATTCTCAGAAGATATATGCATGAATCTCTGTGACCTTGTGTAACACAAAGATTTCTTAGAAGTGACACTAAAAGCATGATCCATAAAAGAAAAAATTGATAAATTTGACTTACCAAAATTTAAAACTTCTGTGCTTCGAAAGCTGCCATTAAGAAAGTGAAAAGATAAGCCACACCAGGAGAAAATCTATGCAAATTTCATATCCAGTAAAGGACTTGTATGTAGACTGTGTAAGAACTCTTAGAGCTCAATAAGAAGACAGCCCATTCTGAAAATGTACAGTAGCCAATGAGTACATGAAAAGACCCTCAGCACCATCTGACCCTGGGGAAGTGCAAATCAAAGCCACACTGAGACACCACTTCACTCCCAGCAGGATGGCTGCAATCTACCCAGTTAGACTATAATACGTGTTGGTGAGAATGTGCAAATGGAACTCACACACTGCTGGTGGAAATGTAAAGTGGTACAGCCTCTGTGGAAAACAACAAGGCAGTTTCTTTAAAATTTAAGTAGAAATTTACCACACGACCCAGCAATTCCACTCCTTGGTTTCTACCCAAGAGAAATAAAAACTTTATATCCACACAAATACTTGTGTACATGTGTTCATAGCAACATTACTCATAATTTCCAAACTGGGAACAATCCAAATGCTCATCAACCTGTGACAAGATGAGGAAAACATGGCATAGCCATCCAATAATGGAATGATAAGACTAGAAAGGAACAAGATACTCACCCATATGACATGGGTGAACCTCAAAAACATTACGTTAAGTGATGGAAACCAGAGTCAAGATGCATACAAATGCATATATTGTGTGCTTCTATTTATATGAACCATCTAGTGAAAAGCAAATACAGAGAGACAGAAAGTAGATTCATTGCCTTAGACCCAGGATGGAAATGGGGAGGGACCACACATGGGCACAGGTTTTCTTTCAGGGTGAAGAAAATGTTCTGGAATTGAAGAGTGGTGATGGTATATGCTATGTATACATTTACTGGGAATCATAAAAAAACTAGTTGTCATTGATTCCTATTTGGACATTAAAATTTTGATTGTCACTCCCAAACCAAAAGGCATATATATAAGCATGCATATGTCCTCTAAATTATTTAATTTTCCCCAAGAGAACCTTATATTCTTTTCAGATCTGGGACCTCAGATCTGTTTTAATAGTTGACATTTGCACACTGCTTTTTCTCTCAATAAGCCCTTCCATCCCATCTACAGACGCAATATCTCTACGAGGAGGGAAGGGTTCTTTTTCTCCCATTTTTCCAGTAAACAGGATTGCACAATTTTTATGTTTAATTTACTTATTGGTAATTTTTTATTCTGGGGGAAGAGTGCCTCTTAGTACTTTGTCCATAATATGTTTTCTCTGTGCAGCGTGGCTGAAATTTTTCTTGCTAAGTAATTATCCATTTATGTAATTGATGAGGATGGTGGTAATGAAAATAAGCATAATGAATATTCTTAGTAAACTGGCAAGTTGTCATTGAATTTCTAGGACGTTTTGTTTCCCGTGTGGCTGAGCCATGTAGCCCTCAGGTGGGCTTGGGGCAGGAGGACCTGTTGAAGCCCTCTGAGAGAGCCGACATTTCACCTACCCCAGAGAAGGGGGTCAGCCTGTGCCTGCAAAATCAGCCTCTTGTCTTCAAGTGGGGCCAACTCTTGCCCAAGCCCAGATAAAGAACATGGTAGGAACTATGCTGCCCAAGTTCTAGCCTTCCCCACCCCACTCTGCTCTATATAATGATCATCATTTGAGGTATTCGTATTTCAAACCAGAATTCTAAAAATTCCATTTGGCCGAAGTTCACTCTTTATTAAATGATGCTACATATGTATAATGCTTTTCCTCCTTTTCTTCTTTTTAAAAAAATTCCCTTATATACACTTTCATGCTCAGAAACCCGATGGACAGATAAGAGGGGAAGAATTGTGACATATTCTAAATGGCATGGTTGTAAAAATCAGTGATTCGGAATTCAAAGAACTGATGCAAACACTTGACCCTGGGGGCACAGGATTGGTCAATGTCAACACGTTTATCGAGCTGCTTGAAGAGAACCCTAGGGTAAGTTTATGACAACTTCATGTTTAATTTTCTATTTATGGCAGGAAATTTAAGTATCCTTAGTGAAATAAGAGATGCAGGTGAAATATAGCTTAAATAATGAATGACCACATTTTTCCAGCCGAGTTAATTTTCATTTTAAGTAAGAGTTCGGTGTTTTTTGAGTTGTTTGATTTTAACTTTTAGTTTCTAAATCTTATTGGTGGGTGATATTTGATGTTTCTGAAAACCCAGCCTGGAAGACAGCACCTTTATCTGCGTGATGTACGGTGCTTCCACAGCTGTCTCCCTGCAGCCACAGCTTACAGAGGCTTGGTTGTGAATTACTCCGCTGGTTCTCATCAGTATTTTTAGAGTGTTTATGTTATTTCATCTTTTTAAAAAAATAACTGCTTGTTGCCTCTAGTGACTAACACTTGCTCCTAGTATTTGTTTCCTTTGGCTGAAAAGTTGACAGAGTTTTATTATTAGAAATGCTTCTATGACTTTAATAGCTATTAACATTTAAAAATTTTAAGAACTTTAAAAAATCAGATTAGTTTCACGTAACGCATGCCATAGGCAGCAAGAACAAGATTCTTGTTGAAAGGTTTATAAATACTTCTTCTAACAGGTATGAATTAGCTCTTCATTGTGATGTTAGGATCACATCCTACCTTGTGCAACGTGACAGCTACACCCTAGACCAGTGTCCTTTGGTCCTCCATGAGCTCTGATTCAGAAGTGAGTCCCCAAAACAAAACAAAATACACAGAAATAAAGAACTGCACCTTTTCCTGAACTCCACTGTGGGACATACCCTGTGTTAGCTCTTAAGAATCATCACCTCTGATCATCACACCAACCTTGAACATGGCCATCTTTTTCTCCAAAAACAAAAATATGGACACATAAGCAATCTGCTTTCCATGCAGCAAGTGGTACCATCTTCCCTTGATCGATATCAGATCTAGTCAGCTTCATGCTGCAAACCCTCTAATGGCTTTCAGGACTCCGAGGATAACGCAGAACTCTCCAGCCTGGTTGGCAAGGTGCCCACGTGGTCCAGCCCTACTGCCTCAAGCCTGGTCTCCCCTGGCCACACTGGCCTCGGGCCCTTGGGGCCCCCAGGCTCCTTCCCCATCCCTGACGTGCTGCAGCTCCCCCTTCTCTTGCCTAATGGAGCCATTCTCCAGATCTCAGGGCACCCGGAGCCTTCCCGGGGACACTCCTGACACCCTGACCAAGCCTGTCTTGCAGTCAGCAGTCTCACACACCTGTCACAGTACAATGCTTCTGTCCCTGTGTGGTCGTCTCTCCATGAAGGCCCTGCCCATCGTGCCTGCGGGGGGTAGCCCAGCCCCAGAAACACTCACAAAGCAGCATGGTGAGTGAATGAGTTAATACGAAAGAGTTAATTAGAAAAGGTAGGAAATTCAGATGTGCAAACAGACAAAAACAAAAATCACCACTAATTCTAAAAACAAGGAATTATTAGCCACTGCTATACTTTGCTGTATATTCTTCCAAACCAATATACCTATACATATATACTATTTTTTTGGAGCTTTATTGAATTATAGCTGATGAAAAACTGCAGGTATTTATATACAATTCGATGAGTTGGATACATCGTCTCATATATGGTATCTATTTTATTTTTAAATGAGATCATATAATTAATGATTTTTTAGTCTGTGTTGCCATTTATTAGCATATTATTAGCACTGTCAATAAAAGCACTGCTGTATAATTTTAAAAGATACAGAGTAACTATTTCCCTGTTGCTATAATCTAGGTATTCACTTTTCTTCTTTTTATAAATTTTGTGACAATAAATATGGTGGTACCTGCTTTTTTATATCACTCTATGGTAATTCTTTTAGTATAAACTTCTAGAAATGGAATTATGGGATCAAAGTATATATCACTAAAAATAATTTTATTTAGTTAAAAAGAGGGATATAGGTATAAAGTACAAAATGCAAGAGATGTAAAAGGGGATACAGTGAAAAGTAAATTTCCTCTGCCTCTGCTCCCGCATCACCCCCAGAGGCCGTCACCCGGACCCCAGAGTCTATGCTTCATCAAGGTGCCTGGCATTGTCCCCTGTCAGCACAGCCACCTTCCTTCCTTCCACCGTGGCCACTCTAGCAGGCAGAAACACCCTCATTAGTCTTTTATTTTGCATTTATTTAATTTCTAGGTGATATATTTTTTCATGTTTATTGTACTTTTAAAAAAATAAGTGCAAGTTAAATGTTATTACCCCCATATCCAGATGGGGGCCAGAGGGCAGACTCACTTGTCACCATCCCACAATCAGGGACAAAGCTGACAGTCCATGTCCATCTTCCTCCAAGCACCTACTGCCTTGATGGACAATTTATATTAATATTCTTTTTCCTTCTCAATTAGATAAGAAAAACATGCTCCTCTACAGACACCAAGGTGCCACTCCTCCGGGCTTAGGATTCAGTAAGTAACACTTTCCTTTGTGGTCCAGGGCGCTACCTACCACCCCACGTTACAAACGTGCAGCTTGGTAAATATGTTTGTTTTTTATGTTAAGTGGAAGAAATTGTTCATGACTCGATTACTGGGAATCTAAAAGCCTTCTATAATGTGCTATGGTCGTATGACCTCAGAGACACAGGGCTCATTGGTCTGAATAATTTCAAGAAAATCATGCACATATTCTGCCCATTTTTAATGACTGAACATTTACTAAAGTAAGTTTTTTGGTAACAAAATTAATCACACCCTGTTTTTCATCAAGTCTGTTTTCTAATTGTGAACCTTTTTCTACCTATGTTTGTAATATTAATAGATAACATTGATAAAAGCTACTATTTCTTGAGCCCTTAGTAATATTGGGTGTTGGTTGAAAGCTTGGCATGTGCTCTGTGATTTAGTCCTCACCACAGTCACGTAAGGTGGCTATTATTCCCTTTCATGGATAAGGAAACTGGGGCCTGGAGAAGTTAAGGACCTGTTCAAAGTCACTCCGCCGGTAAGCAGTGGGGCCTGGACTCTAGCCTGGGTCCCACAGCGCCTGCTTTCTCGATCATATACCATTTTATCTCCTGGGGTGTCTGGCTATGGTCAGCCATACTGAGAATGGTAGCTTGAATTGCATTTGTGTTTCACATTAGCTTAAACCTTAATTTCTGGTGGATGAACCAAAGCTGGAATGGGGCAGGGATGTTAAGGGAAAGAAGAGGACAGTGTCTTGAGGTTCCCCAGGGGTCCTGCCACGCGTCTCTCACTCTGTGCATGTCTCCCCTTGGGGCATACAGTCTGGTTGCTTCCGTCTCTTCAGATGACCTTGAGAACCTACATCTCGGTGGGGGTGATGCCTCCCACACCACCTCCCAGAAGTCCATCCTACTGTCCCATCAGGCTGGTTGCTGCAGAACAAGAGCTGCACACCCTGGGGGACTGCTGGGTTGTCCAGAGTTTCGCACTGCGAGCAGCGGTCTGGGAGATTAGGTGGAAATCCAATTGAATCACAGGGATTTCCAAGTCTCTTTTGCTCCTTCTGATTGGTTGGAATGTTAAAAATCTTATTTGTTGTTTTTGTTCACATTACACTGATTCAAAGTGATCCAAAACACAATTGATCTACTGGCAGTTGTTGGCCACTTGAGTCTCCTTTCTGTGAACATTCATGTTTCATAACCCATTTTTCCTGTGGTGGTTTTCTGTAGCAAAAGATAGCTTTATAAGAAGGGGACAGCGAGGCAGAGGTTTCCCGAGCAGGAGAGGCTCACAGAGCGTGGTGAGCTGGGCTTGGGTGTTTGCCTTCGTCTGATTTTATCAAATGCTGGCAGAAAGATGGGTTTCCTAGTGTGTGGAAGAAACACAGGAAAGGGGGGAAAGTACAGCAAGTTGAGAGAGGGTCCAGAGAGAGCCCAGGGTGGGGGTAAGGGCCTGGGAAGAAGCCAGAGGCCACACTGACGCTCCTGTCTGCAGGGGCTTCAGCCACTGGTGGCCTTTGCTGTGTGCAGTCACAAGGGAGGGGGCTGGGGATTGAGTGGGCAGTTCACCTGGCCATTCCCTCCTGAGTGGTAGGGGATGCCCACTGCAGACTCCTGACTTACGTGATAGGTTTACAGAAAGCCCTTCATTTCCAGGCAGTGTGACATAGGGGGAAAGGCTGCAGACACCCCAGCATAGTGTATAGGCACTGTAGGAGTGCATGCCCTGTGCTTGGAGGGCACGGGGGAGGAGTGCTTACTGCCAGCCAGGTGGGCGGTGCGGGTGGCAGGTAGGAAGCTTCCTGGGACTTGACGCTTGAGTCTGGAGAGGACAGGGGAGAGCATTTCAGAAATGGAATAGCAGGGAAAAGCCCAGAGGACCAGGGGCCTGTAGCACATTAGGGGCCTGGCAAGTCATGTAGGACCATTGGGGCAGGAAGTATCAGAGAGAGGGAACAGCAGGGGGATGATGCTGAGGGACTGGCAGAGTCAGGCACGGGTGCCCACATGTGTCCTACTAAGGAGCTGGCCTCACCTGGGAGGGCTGTGGCTCTCCCCCGGCACCCTAGGTCATCTGGAGGGCTTTGAAAATCCCTGTGCCTGTGCCTTGTCCACAGGCTGGGCCAGGCGCCATGACGTGAGAGTCCCCCCTGGCTCTGATGTGCAGCCGGAGCTGAGAAGCACAGCTGAAGGGGAACCAGGGCCTGCAAGGTGGCTTTTGCTCGGCGTGGGTGACAACTTCAGATTTGCAATTTATACTTTATAAAGATGGCTCTGGCTCCACTGTGGGGTTGGGACTGTAAGAGGGAGAGAGGAAAAGGACAGCTGTGGGGAGCAAGGCGAGGCGGGGCGTCTGCAGCGGGGGTGCTGCTTCGGGATAGTGGAGGAGTGGAAGGGTGATTGGGACTCCAAACAGGGAGGGTGCCAGGAGAGGCGGAGGGGCCCAGGTGAGTCCAGGGGCTGCTCAAGCCTTCCCTTCCGGTGGGAGTGCCGTTGCCGGGTAGGAAACAGAAGGAGCAGCCCCATCGTGGAGTGACAAGGCTGAGGCGGCGGCCATGGGAGGATGTGGGACTCAGAGAGGAGTCTGGGTCGAGCTCCAATCCCAGAGTCCTCACTGTATGGACAGTTTGTTCAGTTGTTCCACAGACATTTGTCTCGGAGTAGATGGAGGCCGTCTGGGGCGAGGGGCCATGGGTCGGACCTGCTAACCAGTGACCCGGCTGGTCCAGCCAGCACAGGAGGTGCAGAGCTCAGGTTAATGGGACAGAAA